CATTTCTCTTTTCCAACAAAGTGAAATCTACTGTAGCATCTGGACGTATCCACAGCTGTGTTACTGGTAAAGGTTCGATTTAACTTGAGCTTGATTGCTTTGGTTTCACGATCCAATCAAAACTCCTCACGTTTTGCTTTGACCCAGCAGGGTTTAACCATTCCCCAAGTTGGATGCTCCTCCATCACCATCTACGTTTTCCCAGTAATTTAATGTCAGTTGCTTTCTTCTAATATTAAGTGGCATACTGTACTATAGACATGCACTTCTCAGAATAATTATTTCCTATCCTTACTCATGTTTGCCTTCCAGAGAGAAAATCCTTGTCTACATTCACCCTGTGACACCATCTTCCTCATTTGGATGAATAAACCTTGTCTCCACATTGTACCCTGTGCTTTTTCAATTTCAAAAGTTCTGTGTCATCTTTGCCTGGCGTGCAGATCTTTACCATCACTGCTTCTTTCCATTTCCCAGATTTTACTGTAAAATAATATTCTTTAGTCACAAAGTTGACTTCTCGTTAGATAACAAACCTGATCTTCGTGGTGACTCTGATGTGAGAGGTCCATTTATTAAATCATTTACATCTTCGTGTTCTAATAGCTCTCTATTCTCTGACGTTTCTCTTCCTGTTTTCCCTTCTACAGTAATATTATCTCAACTATGTATTTTAACAGATGTTTTAGCCACCAGCTATGCTTTTCTGTCGAGCTCCAAGTGAGCGGCTCGTGTTTCCCCAGTTCCGCACCTGGCCGGGGTCCTGGCCACTCCCACTCACCTGTTCCTCATGCCGTGACAATCAGTGTAGCTTCTACCTTAAAAGCTTATGAATCTGATTTAAACCATCTCTGGAGTCTTTAATTAAAGAAACCCAAAACAAAACCCTAAAAGAATCGTGTTGTTGCCATTTATTTATAAAGGTAGTAATGTTATGTTACCAGGGGAACAACAGCCTGTGCAAGAAAGGTTCTATTAAACTAACATCAGCAGGGATAATGTGTGTTTTTAGTTTGAATATGTGCATAGTGCATTGTCATCTAATACGAGATTTCTGGTATATGTAATGACTGCTTTTATCCATTTGTCTCTTTAAAGCTCTGATAGCGGTTTTTCTGCAATGATTCTGGGTTTCATTGATAAGTGAGGATACATAAAAACAACACTTACAGTTGCAAAACATTTAAACCTCACTGAGAAAATCTAAAATACGAAGTCACCATATCAGATAGTTAATAGTTACAGTTTGGTACTTAGTTTTCTTGCCTATATTTCGAAATGTATATAAAATGATAAGCCCATTTCTACTCATATTGTTTATACTTAAAGACAGGGACAACAAAACAATGTCTGCGCCATAACGGCAACACTGAGGACCCGCTGCAACACGTTCACATCACCTGAGTGACGTATACGCCTGTGTCTGCAAGACTTTCCAGGATTTTAAACAAACAGCCTACTCTCCACACCACTAGGTGGCGACATACATCACGGTGTACCAAAGAACCGTCTCCTACGTCATCAAACAGCGACACGATTCAGACACGAGCCTGTGGTGTGGAGGCAGTGGGTCAGTGTTGGTCTGCTGATGAAAAGAATCAGCTGCTGGAGGTTTCACTGATCTGACGGTTGGAGCTCTCTTTGGCTGCTTGCTGTTTTCTCTCCTAACGGCCGCGTTCACCGGAAGAGCCGCGATGTGTCAGGTGGAGGAAGATTACCGGGGAGAGATGGAGCGCGCCGCCGTGCCCAGGTAGGCTGAGGTCTACAGGTGCTGACAATAAGTATGTTTATGGGTGAGAGTCCATGTTAAAAAGGCCCAGCGATGAAACGCAGATAATCTTAGCTGGGATTTGGTCAATATACCCGCATTAGTTTGGATATCACATGGAGGGAATAACAGTCCAGGAGCTGGAATGTTTTTGTAAATGTTGTAGCCAATTCATCTTAAATGTGTCGTTTAAAGTGCTAAGATCCATAAAGCTTAGATCAGCTTTATCATATTCATTCATGAGAACAGGTTTAGATAATGAGTGCAGAGACAGAGCTGCGAGCTTCTCTCCGCTTTAGTCATCAGGTCTGTCCGGAGCCGCTGGTTGAGTCTACATCCAGATTTAAGCATCTTCTTCTT